ATTTGTTGAAAAAAAAAGTGTTTAAGTGTGTGACTGCTTCAGGAAGAAAAGAGTTGGACTTCTATTACAAGTTATTTACGACGATGGTGTCCCCCACGCTATGGAAGTGTGTGCTTCTGTGCCCTCAGTATGTGTGTGCGTTTAATTGGAGCTTTGGGGTGGGTTATGCAAGTGTTGGGCGGTGCAGATGCCCACATGTAAAAAAAGAAAACGAGGGAGGGGGGGAAGCCTCGGACGCGTGCACGTGGCTGTGCGTAAAAAGCTGTTTTTTACGCGCGGCCATGAACGCACCAGCAGGAGTGGGTTGGATTTAGTGCAATCCGAGACGACATTATCAACTCCTCCATGTAGCTCGACTAGAGACAAAAGTTGTTTTCAAAAGAATCCACGCGGGGTTTTTTTTTCTTCCTACATCGATGGCCAGCAGCATTAAGGCTCGCGTGGAAGAAGAAGGCGGCGTGGCGGAGCGCGTCTTCGCTTACCGCGCGATGAATTATATCCACGAGATGAGGTGCGAGGATGTTGGCTCGCACCTCTACAGCCGCATGTGCTGCGCAGGTACGTTTGCGCGTGCGCGCGCCGACTTCTCCCGCAGGCGGATTTGATCAGGGGAAGAGGAGGCGGAGTTAGAATCGACGCACGCATGCGCACTGTGCGTTGTTGTCGTTTTGGTTTGCATTTTGGATAACGACAGTAAAAAAAAGCCACCTGTCGCTGAACCCAACCATTCATAAACGTCCCTAAATGACTTTTATTTCTATATTCCATATTGTTTATTTTTTTTAATACTTTTTTTTTTCGCCTGGCCAGCACAAGATGTCTGATTCATTGAATTCTATTGTGATGTCATTGTGTTGACGTCACAAACGTGTGCATTTGGTATTCAACATCACAGAGTTTAGTTTCGTATCAGGAAACTGTTCGAGCTACAAAGTGGTGTACTTCTGTGGAAACAGAGGCATGTGTTTTCAATGCGTTGCCGTGACTACCGCCCAAACTAAAATGCCCCCGTTCCCGGCCCCCCCCCCTTTTTTCCAACCTCCTGTGTCATTGCAGCCTGTTGCCCCTAGAGGGAGACAAAAAAACAGCACCGAAAAGCGTGTTAACCCAACAAGTTAATTTTCACCCGCAAATGTCTCATGTGTAATGTTTACAAGGGAGTACATTCCACAGTGTTGAACAGTAACAGAATTACTGCGGCAGTTGAATGTCAACTTGGCACCGGCCCATAATGCTGCGGGCCCTGATGGTTCCTGGTGCAGCTTTGCGTTCTTGTTTCTGTGATAGGTACGCATGCTTTCACTTGCACACTTTTTTTTGTTTTTTTTTTTAACATGGTGGAAATTAAATCAGCAAGTGGTGGCTCCCCTAATCCGTGAAAAGGAGGTTCGGAAGGGTGGGCTTGTGGGAGGGCGGCCGCGCCTTCCTCTAGAATGCAGAAGCGTGGCAGTCTGCGAAAACCAAAAACATACATGGCAGCTGAGAAGACATATTCTAGTAATTTCATTTGAATTTGCGGAAAGAGTCACAGAAATGAATCATGGGCAGGAGTCATCTTTTTCTCTGCATGTTGCTCGTCGGTGGGTTTTCAGGGGGGTTAGTCTTTTGAGGTTGATCTTTCCGATTTATTTTTGAAGAGTCTTTTGCGGTATGTCCTGAAATGGGGGCTTTAAAGTGAAGCTTTATAGAAGGTCTTGGTTGGTCTTTTCGAAGGGTTTTGAAGGTCTTTGAAATTGTTTGATTTCCAAGGTGGGTTTTAAGGGAATCTTGATGAAGGGTATTAGAAGTTGTTCTTAAGAGGTCTTTAAGCAGGGTGGTCTTAACAGAGGGATTTAGGAGGTTGTTGAAAATGGGTCTTTTAACTCATTCACTCCCAAAGACGTTTTTAAACGTCTTTTCAGATTTGGTCTAGAATTGTCTGGTACTGAATTAATGTAGATCTTTGAGGCTTGGACTTTGAGATGGACCCTACATATATTAGGACCGTCTTTGCTGTAGATATTGAACTTTTCTTTGGTATTTAGGTGGGTCTTTTTTTTTTTTCGGGTGTGCCTTCATGGTGGGTCGGGGGGTCGAGTGAAGGAGGTGGAAGCACCTCAAGCCCTCTTGCTCCTCTTGTCCTGACAAGCCTCCTCCCTGAGGAAGAATCCCAGGAATCCTTTCCGACAGTGAAATCTCTCTTGCAGGAATTTACGGGACGGAGATGAGTCAATGCTATTTTTTTGGTTGTTGTTTTGTTTTGCTTTGTTAAATGCTCCCAATCGACCTCGGTCATTGACATGTTGGTAACGGTTGAAGATGAAACTCAGTGGCTGCCCTGTTTGATTTGTTTCGAGCACCTTAAAACAGAAGCTTTCATAAAAGACTGGCAACGATCCAAGAGAAACAGGGAAAGCCCATTTTTCCAAGTGCGTATGCTGTTTCTGGAATACTTGAGTCCTTTCTGATTGAAATAGATCTATATATTTTTTTAATTTTTGTATGTGTGATGAAGAATGACCTTGTTCTTTGACACACGGCCATCATGTGCTCTTTGCAGCAGCCCAAAGCGGTCTTGGAACATGTCCCGCCCACACATTTTTGGTTCTGTTCACCGTTTCCACTGTGGACAAAGAGCTGGTTAACTTTAATGACTTCCCCATGTGACCCATTCATTCACTTTGTGATGTGGGTGTCATGAGGTAAAACGGAACATTTTAAGATAAGATATCCTTTATTTGTCCCATATTGGGGAAATTTACAGTCTACAGCAGCAAGATTAGCTACAAACTAGCTAGCTAGTGCGGCTAACTCCTGTCCTTCAGTGATGCAGAGATGCAACACCGAGGCACTCATCTGCGATTCCATGGGAGTAAATAAGATACACTTCTGACAAAAGGAGACCGTTTTTTTTTTTTTATTTTCTGAAGTCATTCCAGGAGAAAGATAATCAAAGTCATCATGTGACAAACACTTGTTATGTCTTGGGTGGTCTACGCGGAGAGGGAGTTTTGTTGTTGTATCAGGGTGCGGTCGCACCTTTACCATACTGGTCCAGTAAGGAGATTCTCTTCTTCCCCTTTCCCTCTCGTGTTGCCTGTTGAGTGACACGGTCGCCCGCAGGCACGCTTTGCTACGCGCGTGGGGAACAGAAAGCGTGGCGGCGCACGAAGGGTGGGGGTGGTGTTGGGGGGGAGGAAGTCGATGAGGCACGGAGCAAACTGACTCTGACGCAGCAGGCAGTCGCTTTTCAAAGTAGTTAAAGGTAGTCGTCGTTCTCTGGCCGGGGATTTGTTTTCACGATGGAGGCCGGAATGAGACATTACTCGTCGGACAGTTTGAGCAGCGATGGCGTGTTCATCGAGGACTCGCCATACCAGGGCATGCTCAAGCCCATGGACTCCAGGAAAGGTAGCCTGGGGGTTGAACTTGCATTGTTGGTGAGATTGTGGAAGCGGAATGAAGTCTGTGTGTGCCGCATGTTGATGTTGATGATTATGATGATGATGGTGGTGATGGGGATGATGGTGATGGGCTTCGAACAGGCCACTCCCCTTGAAATGTCATGACCTTTGGGAGGGGATGATAAACCTGAAGAGGGACTTTTAAAGTCATCCTGAAAAGAGCACCCTAATGTTTATTATTTTTATTATTATTTCATTTTAATTTTAATTTTGCGTGTGTTTTTTAGTTTGCCATTACAGTCAAACCCAAAAAATTGCATCTACTTTCAATGTACTGTAATTTTTTGCAGCCGTTCTCGAAAAAATTGTATATATTCAATATATTGTGTACAAATTAAATGTATGACATTTTTAAAATATTATTTGGATATTTTTGTAATTATTATTAATATAATACTGTTCAATATCCTCTCGCCATCATTATCTGCACCGCCTGACCTCTGTCAGAGGAATATCTCTAATTATTTTTCATAATGTAAAAAAAAAAAAGATAATTGTCAGAGAATTTTCATATGATACAAAAAAATCAATTAATACAGTTTCTCCACAGTGGGATGTGAAAATCTACAATCTTATTTTATTTTTATTCAGTGAATTTGAACAAATGCATTGTAATCATTTTATTGTTGTCATTAATATATAATGACAATGATTCTGTAAAACCACAAATGTTCGCATTTTCACTGATTGATGGTAACAATCCTCAGCTTCAACTCCACTCAAAATGAGTTTGAAGAAAAACGTTTTAACATTAAAATGGTCTTGTGTCGCATCATTCGGCAGCGTGCCTCCGTTAAGTCATCCTCGCGTGTGTGTGTTTTTTTTTTTTTGTTGTTTTTGTTGTGCAGCTAGCGCCTCTTTTTGTTTGAAAACATCTTGCCGTCACGCGCCTCCGTTATGAAAAACACGATGGATCCACGTCGGATTTTCTCTGCACAGGGGCTGAAGTTGAACTCGTGTGTCTTTGATGTCCTGATGCTGAGGAATGTGTGCAGGAACAATCCTGCATGGTGAAACATGTTCCTGTACATGGAATGATATGAAGCATGACCGACGTTAATTGGGCGTCTTTTTGTCTTGCAACCTCCTCTGTTTTAATATCGTTTGCTAAATAATGACCCTGCCATATTTCTAAAACAGTTCGCAAATTTCTTAATAATAAGAACATGCTGAGGATCAAGATTTTATTTTTTTTCTAAACATACTTTCAGTTTAGCTCTGCTTACCTTTGACACGATAGCAGTGGCATTACTCTGTATGTGTCTCTGCGCTCTCGTGCCTTAAACGGTGTTTCAATTGCTTGAAAGTGGCTCTGGATCTTGGCCCACCCAAGCCCGACCATTTTATGGGGAGAGAAACTCGGCGTGGGGGCGGTTACTATATAAAATGAGCTGACTTGTGATGTCATTATTTGTGAAAACTGAGAGAGTCTTGCTTTGACACATTTTCTATAAAATGTATTCATTGTTCATTGATTCACTGGCTTGTCCTGCTGACAAACAACAATAGTGTCTTTTGAACACAAACATAATTTTTTTTTTTCTCTCCCTTCCTCAGACGAGCGCGACCGAGTTCAGAAGAAGACCTTCACCAAATGGGTCAACAAGCATCTGGTGAAGGTACAAGACACTGACGCATGCTTTCACTCGCCTGCTCGTTTTTAAGAGGGATGGCTCGATAGCAAAAGGCTAATCTGTGATGCATCTCTTATCGAAAGGAGATTCAGAGACAACACGTGGCTTTGACGTCTCACCACCGGGTCACACGAAAGCGTTTTTTTCTCCTTCGTGGGCCATTATGAGTCGATATCAATGATTTCACTGTCAGTGAAAGTCTTGTGACATTCAAGCCACCAGACCAACAACATGGGCCGCAAGGACAAGGTCACGTTTTCCCGTAGCAAAAGAAACTTAAGCAAAAAAATACATTTTCCAGTCTGCCAGCATAAGTCTGAGTTGTCACGGCTGCAGCGATGTTGGTTATTATGCGAAGGAAGCTAAAATGAACCAAGCGGACTGCCGCGGCTCACCATGACCATCCTGCGATAGCATCGGGCTAACAAACATGAAAATGGAGCGTGCAGGGTTGGCCAGGATGTGTTGTTGCTGTTGTGTGTTTTGATTAGTCTGCTTCTATGGAAACGTGGCCATGCAGGGGCTGACTCATTCTCATTCTTTTTTTTTTCTTAAGCATCCTTCCGTTGGGGTACAATTTGGCACGGGGCGGTTAACCGGTTTGTACCACTGTTTTAAAAACCGCAATATCTTTCTATCAGTGGAACAAGTGGCACCACCCGTCCCCATTTCGTTGTTGTGAGCCTGACGACTTTTCCCATTGTCGAAAAAGTTGCCTCAGAGGAATCTTTCGGCTAAAGCGGCCCAATAGATAAAAATGCAAAATGTGATTGCGAATGGGTTTTATCTGCTATAGGAGGCTTTATTTCCAATATGATATCACAAACAAATTCAAGGTAATGTTATTTTACTATAATGTTGCCTTGAAATGCCCGCTTTTAACCAGCTACAAGTTAGCTTGTCTGGAATTAGTGAGTTAATAGCTAAGACTTGCTGCTGCTGCAGATAATTAGCTAGCTAGCTAGCTAGGCTTGCATCAGTTCATTTCCTCTTACTTCACAAAACTAAGAGCAGAGAAGCAGCTACTTCTGAGAATTTGGTAAAAATAAAGCAAAAGTTAATGAAGAAAAAAACATTCTATTTAATTTCTAGGTTTACCAATAGCTAGCTATGAATCTGTCGGTCAGCTTCTATATTCTTTTCATAGTCTTGTATTCTGATCCCTCCCCCCTCATCACTCTGTTTTCCATCCCATCCACCACACTGTTCCATCAGCACTGGAAGGCTGAGGTAGGTTCTTCTTGATTGGCCCCAAAATATTTGCTAAATGCTAAATGAATGGAGTGCAGTGCTGAAACCGTCTGTCAGTGTTTCTTCCCCATTGAAAATCCTTCCACCTGGCTGTCTCTAATGTTGTGGCCCATATGGACAATTTAGTCTATTGTGAGCCTCACATCTTTTTGGGGGGAGGTGGGATGGTTAATAGGCATGCAAACCCAGAACCTCTTAACTGCGTGGCAGATGTACTAACCACTCCTACACCGTGCTGCTGTTAATTTACATTAAAATTAATTGTGCCTTTTCTTTAGGCCCAGCGACACGTCAGCGACCTGTATGAGGACCTGCGCGATGGCCACAACCTTATTTCCCTGTTGGAGGTTCTCTCCGGCGAGACCCTGGTGAGTGACCTTTGACCCTTCAACCCACTCTCACCTTCTCGTCTAGCCCCTCCCTTCCCGCCTCCTCCTTCGCTTCTTGTGCTGTCTACTACTGTTGTTGTTGTACTGTTATGTGGCATGTGTTGATTCTCCTGTTAGACTAATTTTCATTCTTGGCCACCATCTTGTCGACTCATTTTTTTTGGGCGGGGGGCCTCTAACTACCTTACACCCCTGCCTCCTACCCCCATCCCTCCTCATCCTCCTCCCTGTGATGCTCTTGCCGTGCTAGCCGAGGGAACGTGACCTAGTGAGGAACGTGCGCTTGGTGAGTGCTGCCTGCACGCTGGCTCTGCCATGGCATGTGTCAATGCATGACCATAAACCCCTCAAAACCCCAAATTGACATGTGCTCTTCTTTTTTTCACCATTTTGTTTGGTGGTGTGCCGTGCGATTTTTCGAACTTAAAAAAAAAAAAAAAAAATTCTTGGCTCAATAAAGTTTGGGAATCACTGCTGTATATGACAGTATCAATATTAAAAAGTACTTTTGTGTTTTAGATTTTTTTTTTAAATAAATAATTGGTTTTATTTGCATTTTTTTATTACCCCCCAAAAAACAAAACCAAAATATATATAAGAATTTTTTTATTGGACTTTATTAAAAAAAACAAAAAAAAAACTAATACTGTAATAACAATAGAAGTATAACATGATTGCAATGACCTTAAATCAGATCCCTTCTTTCAGGAACGTAGTCATTAGCAGCTAAAGCTACATTGTGATAACTTCATTAAAGAATAAAACAAAAACATCGTTGATTCGTCGTTTAGATATTTTTTTGCACATCCCATAATATACCATGTTGCAGCTGAATTATTTTGATTGACAGATGTGCATTACATACATGTCTTTACACCAGTACTAGTAAGTAGGTCCTTTGGTATTTTTGACCGACGCATGATTATAAACTGACGGAGATCATCACCGCCAGCCATCCACATCCGACATCCTGACTCGGTCACGTGTGCTCTCATGTGGATCTGACGCTGGGTCACATGTGACCTGGCACCTTCATCCAAGTCCTACAGAATGCGTTAATCACCATTGGTCATTTTTTTTCCCCCTCCAAATATTTGTATGCTTTGGTTTCTTTCAGCCTCGGGAGAAGGGCCGCATGCGCTTCCACAAGCTCCAGAATGTTCAGATCGCGCTGGACTTCCTCAAACGCAGACAGGTTGGCAAAGAATTCTCATCCGAGTAGCACGGCACATATACCTTCATTTGTCTCCAAAACTAAACTCATATCCAACTATTTCAGGTCAAATTGGTCAACATCAGGAATGACGACATCGCCGACGGAAACCCCAAGCTGACCCTCGGGCTCATATGGACCATCATCCTACACTTCCAGGTACTCGTTGGACAGAATTCAAACTGTGTGCTTGTTTGTGTGCTCCTCGCTCGTCCGTGCAGGCTCCTGCGTTGGTTTGAAGGTTACCATTTTTTTACAGTTTGGTTCAGGTTAGGCGTCACGTCACTTCACGTTGGCTACCAGCTGAGGTTTGAAGGAAACGAACAACTGTAGTTCTCTCTCTCTCTCTCTCTCACTTCAATTATTGTAATTTTTGTTCATTTTAGCCCCGGGATGCATTACTCGCCAAGGACATGCCAATCGGCTCCTTGTTGGGGTGGCTCTCCACGTGGTTGTCACATCGTAGAACAACAGCGGAAAGTCCATTAGTGGCGATATGTCTACCAAAAAAAAACAAAAAACATCAAGCACTGATAAGCTCCACCCAAAAATGTCACGGCTAAAACGTTGGAAATTGATCAAAAGGGGGTTGCACGACTCTAAAAGAAATGGTTAAAAAAAAAAAAATCATGTATTAATGCTCTACCCTAAAAGGTAGAAGATGCACTGAGTTTTCTTTTAAGAAGACATTTTTTTAAAATATTGTTTCTCTATTAGAAAGACTTCCCCCTGAATGAGGTGAAACAAGGAGAAGGAAAAAAGAAGGGGCAAAAAAAAACCCCCATTAAAGGCAAATAGAGGGAACATTTTTTTTTTCTGGAAAGGATGTTAGCAATTAGAAAAGAGAGAGAACAAGAATGAGCCTTTCATGAAGCAGCAGAGCTTGGAAAGTTTGAGTCTACAGCAGTGGGAGTACATGATGCGTTTTTTTTGTTTGTTTGTTTTTTTTTTTTTTTTGTTTAAAGCTATAATGAGCGTAATGATCACATTGGGATGCGAGTTTCATTTTTCTGAGTGACTCAGTGCTTCCCTGGGGGATGCCAGGGGGCAAAGATGTGGGCGGGATCGCCTCCAACTGTGGTGGGAAAGAACACACCGAATTCCCGGTTGGCATTTCTTACTCAGCTTCCATATTTTCAAGGCCAAAAAGCACCCAAAAAAAAAAAAAATCCTCATGCACGGGTTTTTAGAAGGAACTGGGTGGAGGTCCTATTTCCATTCAGGATCTGAATCATTATTCTCGGGTTTCCCCATTTTCTTCCACCAAAACAGCTCGTTCGTGAAAGTTGGCCGTGAGTCATTGAAACACTGAAAGTCAAACTGTAAATACAGTGTCCCCTCGTTTATAACGGGGTTTACGTTGCAAACATTAACCCGTGATAGGTGAAATTGGCAAAGTAGGAAACTTTTTAGAATTGTTTTTTTTTTTTCAATTCATTATACTCTGTTATAAGCCTCACATTAACATTTTCTCACATTTCTCTCTTGTTTAAACATGCTCAAAGTTCAAACCTGTGCAAGAAAAATAAGTATACAGTATTATTATTATTATTATTGATTGGTTATTGCACAGGACACGTGGCATGGAGGAGATGGATTCAAATTGTACCTTAGCCAGTCAGGATGCAGAATACAATGCGGGGTTTGTACTCTATTAAAAAAAACAAACAAAAAAAAAAAAAACCTATGCAGACTTGCACTGTATGAAATACAGGAAGTCAAATAAGACACAATGCGGGTTGTATGCAGTTTGAAAGAAAAAATAAACAGTCATGTAGCAGGGGACCACTGTACACCGATATTCGAAAAAATAAATAAATGAAACGTCAAAAGGGTATAAAAAAAAAAAAAAAAAAGCAGATTTCCTATCATTGTACCTGCCGGTTATGCTGCGATAAATTCCACCCTTGTGGCACATAAAGTTGGGCCAAAACAAACACACAAAAGACCTTGATTCACCTCTACATTTACATTTTTCCACTGGTGCGATTTATTTAAAAAAAAAAAAATGCCCTTGGAGGCAGTGAAGGGGAAAAAACCCTTCCAACATTCCTTTGCAGCTGCCATCGTTGACTTTAATGAGAGTTTATTTAAAGCTTGTTTTGTGACTCATTTCTTGCACATTTTGTAAACTGCGCGTTCATCGACAAGTCTGGAAACACTGAGTTGAGTTGCGGTTTTGACTGACTCATAAAACGCCCGTCGGAAGAAAATCAGTTGGCAGGCTGCTGCTTGTGTACAAATCATGACTTTCAAGTCACTTTATTAGGTACACCTACCCCATTGTGTAAATCACCAACGTTTGTCATTTTAATCAATGACGCATGCCCGTTTGCACCCCCCCCGCAGATCTCCGACATTCAGGTGAACGGCCAGTCGGACGACATGACGGCCAAGGAGCGTCTGCTGCTGTGGTCCCAGCGGATGGTGGAGGGCTACCAGGGTCTCCGCTGCGACAACTTCACCAGCAACTGGAGGGACGGCAAACTCTTCAACGCCATCATACACAAACACAGGTGAGAGCTTTTATGGGGAATCGTCAAACACTCCTTCCACACCGTAGAGTTCCTTCGTGTTTAGTAAATATCTCTACGTACGAGCGTCTCTTCAAACGAAATTTTCTAGTTACGAAACGTCTCGAAAGGAAAATATTGCCTCTTGTTACGAAAGAAATTTCAAGATAGGAAAGGTAAAAATACAGTATGGGTTGCTAATCGCAGCTCCGAGTTTCCTGAACGCAACATGCTAATAGCTGCTCTGCCATTGGCTGATACCGAGCAGCATCCTGGCATCCCATTGGCTAAAAGAGACCTCGCCCGTAGGTGTGTATGTGTGTAGAAAGATTTGTCTTCGTCATTCGCCCCTCAGGCCATGAGGTGTTTCGATAGTTTTACGTAAATGCGAATCACACAGAAAAAGTGTTCACCGGTCGGGCGATCGCTCACTACGCTGATGTTTGCCTTGGACATTTTCGAAGGGTTGTTAAAAGCCGACAAAAGCAAACGTCATTGGATCAGTTCATTAAAAAACACCAGGGCAAAAACCACTTCTGAGAGAGAACATGAACTAAAGATGCCCAAAAAAAAACGATGAGGACGCAGTTAAAAGTTAAATGACCATCATTTTTATTCTTCATTCTTTTGTTTTTGACATTATGCACAACTCTCATTTATTGTGCAATAATCTAATTGTAACGTGTATTTGTTACATATTTTGATGCATTTTTATGGTTTAAGAAACATTTTTGTTTGAATTTTGGGGGGGCGCTTGGAACGAATTAGGGCATTTACATGGAAACCGCGTCTCGACTTACATTTTCTAGTTAAGAAATTTCTTCCAGAACCAATTAATATCCTAAGTAGAGGTACCACTGTATATGATATTCTAAATATCTGTCCTCTGCGCTCACTCGGCTGGAGCCTCGCTCAGTCCGGTCTCGGCATGGTTCTGGTTGGTGTTGCATCGCACCTTGTAAAGCGTCCTGAATCGGACGTCTTTCTCGCGAGCAGGGGCGGGCTGTCCTCCAGAAGCGCCAACTACCTGAAGCAGGACTGGACCCTCCACATGCACACAAAGATTATTTTTCTAAGCTGTGCTTGTGGCTGCATGCTAGTCGACGTCACCGCTTATCATATCGAATTTGGGAATGTGAAGCTTCTGTGGTATTAGTGCTCGTGTCCCGGCTCGTACCTAGCTGGCCTGCGGCTGTAGCACGGCTGTGTGTCGAAAAAAAAAAATACGTGCCACCAAAATTAGCAAAATTAAAATACAATAGCTCATCGTGTTTATTCAGAAATTAGGCCGGGGTCTAAATATCTTTAATATTATTGGAAGCCACTCCAACATGATGGACATTTTTAACATTAAACTAGCTGTGATTAAATAATGGAAAATAAAAACTATTCTTCAATAATGATTCAATCTGAATTCACCTCACTCCAGTAAAACGTGTACCTAAATAACTTAAAATGCTTCAAAGCTAAATATAATTAAAATCTAAAAAAATTTTACTTTAACAAAATTTTAACGCTCGCCGCCTCCGCAGGCCCAACCTGATCGACATGGGCAAAGTGGGCCGCCAGACCAACCAGCAGAACCTGGAGCAGGCCTTCAGCGTGGCCGAGCGCGAGCTGGGCGTCACCAGACTGCTGGACCCAGAAGGTGAGAAGCGCCGTGGCATCATCAGCCAATCAAATGTCGAGCCCGAAACGAAACGCCATCGTCATGCGCGCTCCCAGATGTGGACGTGCCGCATCCCGATGAGAAATCCATCATCACGTACGTGTCGTCGCTGTACGACGCCATGCCCAGGGTGCCCGACGCTCAGGACGGCGTCAAGGCTAACGTGAGTACGGAATGTCGTCCTGGGTCGTTTGACAATTTAGCTCCCAAGACGTTGTGACTGAAAAGTACCTTGTTGTAGGAACTGGAGCTGCGCTGGCAAGAGTACTACGAGTTGGTCACCATGCTGTTGCAGTGGATCAGACACCACGTCCTGGTCTTTGAGGAGCGCAAGTTCCCCACCAGCTACGAGGAGATCGAGGTTGTGGCACCCCCATTTAACCTCAACAACCTCATTTTTCAAAACATCCTCCATGACCGAGGACTTTTTTTTTTTCTGCCACAGGTTCTCTGGCGTCAGTTCCTCAAGTTCAAGGAGACGGAGCTCCCTGCCAAGGAGGCGGACAAGAACCGCTCCAAACACATCTTCAAGTCCTTTGAGGTGAGTCTTTTCACAAGCTTTGGAGTTAACGGACCGTCACCAAATACCGATTGCTCACTTTTACGTTCCCAAAAACTGATATGTCGGCGGCTGATAATTATCGACATAGACAATAATGCAATTGTAACAATTATTCCTATGTACAGCTTTAAAGAAAAATGTTTATTCAGTTAATCGCTGAGAAAATTGTAAATCGATCCTGAAAATATTTGATCGCTGCAGTTTAGCTATTCTGCAGAGATGAAAGTCCTCCGGATTTTCCCGGAATTCCGGGTTTTTCAAATTTTTATGAAAATTTCTCCGGAGAATTGAGGAAAATTTGCATAATCCGGATATGAGTTGACAACATTGAACGAAGACGCGTTTGAGTTCGTTGTATTGCTTTCACGAGCGTAGCCATATTGAGGCACTAACACTAGTAACAGTAAAGAGATTTTTGTTTGTGTAATAACGACAGAAGGCATGATGGCGTTTGACTAATGGTTTAGTAGAACGAATGGCAACTCGCAACAACAGTAGCAAGCGTCATTTTGCCTCTTGAGTTATACCATCTCAACTAGAACGTGGGGGATAGTCCCCAAACAATT